ACACAAACACCACACGACGTTCACAAGCGCCACATACACACAGCAAACTTATTCAGGTTTGGAAACGGACTTCAACTTCACTCGTTAAAAAGCTAAAAATAGCCGAGACTGAGTTGCTGAGACAAACCTTTCATTCCCCTCGCTGTCCGCGGATTTATTTCTGGAAAAGAATCTGGAGAGGTTTCTGGCGAAATCCTCGTGCCAGGACATCTGCCTCTTCAGATCGGACATCATGTGGAAACAAACTAACCATCTAAGAAGACTCGAGGGCGAAGAGAGCTTCCGATCCGACTCGGATCTCCATTGCAGCGAGTTTGAGGAAGTTTGTTTGGGAGGAGTCTCAGTCAATCATCAACTCGTGCGAGAGCAGAAGAATATTCCTGACAGGATTAGAGCATATCTGGCGACAGATACAGTAGCACAGTGGATCAGCAGGCGAATAACTCGATTAGTCGTGATAACAGAAGAGCGACTAAAGCGGTTTAGTGTGTCAGTCCTGGTGATGTTTGAGGAGTGAAGCAGCAGAGATGAATAAACGCTGGAAAATCAACATAACACACACACACACTTACCCTGATTCACACGTTATGCTGTATGTATGGCTAGAAACATAACCAGCTCCAACTTTATTATTAAACGCTATTTAACTACTGATGCAGCTAACACTCTTTATACATTCAGATTAAATGTGCATAATAAAGGGACATGATAAGCACTCACTCTGATTATGTATGGCTGATGTATTAATGAATCGATAGATAATGAAGGTTTAATGAGATGTTTGAAACTTTAAGTTGTGGACTCTTTTCTGCTCCAGTGGCGCCATCAAGCGTTCAGTGACTGCAACGCGTTTGTGTGTCTGTAAAGAGAGAAATTAGATGTTTATCGTGTTAGGGTTGCACAATCAATTCAGTTAAAAAGAACAAAAAACTATTAAAGAGATAGTCCACCAAAAAAAAAAAGCCAAGTCTGTCATCATTTACTCTCCTTGATGTCGTTCCAAACCTGTACGAGGTTCTTTCTTCTGTTGAACACAAAAGACAATATTTTGAAGAACATGTCACCGAAGAGTTTTGAGGACCACTGACTTTCACTGTATGGACAAAAAGACATTTCTCAAAATATCTTCTTTTGTGTTCCACAGAAGAAAGAATGTCATACAGATTTGGGACGACATGAGTGTGAGTAAATGATGACAGAATGATGAATCATAGAAACCCAGAAAACAGCTTTGATTCATAATGATGTGAAAGAACTCTAAATGTAGATCATAAGGAATATATTTTGATAAACACATCAGTTTTACAGTCAAGTCAAGTCACCTTTATTTATATAGCGCTTTTAACAATACAGATTGTGTCAAAGCAGCTTTACAGTATTAAATAGGAAAATAGAGTGTCAATAATGCAAAAGGACAATAGTAAACACTCAATTTTCAGTTAAAGGCAGTTCATCTTTGGATCCTGTGATGTCATCATCCAGCTCAGCTCAGTTTAAACTGTATTTGTGCACTCAAGTCGACGATATCGCTGGAAATTAAGTGTCCCCAACTAAGCAAGCCAGTGTCTGCTACTGATGAGCACACAACAACAACATCAATAACAACAACAACATCATCATCAACAACAACAGTTCTCAGTTCTTGGACCACTTCTCTTCTCTGTCTACATGGCATCACTAGGTTCACGTTACGTTACTTTTGCGTTACTTTTTAAATCTGGACACGGCTTGTTTGTTTTTAAAATAAAAAAGTTATATTTTTGGCAAATATAAAAGCCTTTTCACACCCAAAGTGAAATGAATAAGCCTCAGGCTGAAGGGAAAGTAAATTTCATCATCAACAACAGCAACATCATCAACAACAACAACGTCAACAACAACAACGTCAACAACAACAACATCAACATCATCATCAACAACAGCAACATCATCAACAACAACAACGTCAACAACAACAACGTCAACAACAACAACATCAACATCATCATCAACAACAACAACATCATCAAAATCAACAACAACAACATCAACAACAACAACGTCAACAACAACAACGTCAACATCAACAACATCATCAATAACATCAACAACATCATCATCAACAACAACAACATCAACAACAACACCAACGTCAAACAACAACAACAACAACATCAACAACAACAACAACATCAATATCAACAACAACATCATCAACAACAACGTCAACAACAACATCAACAACAACATCATCATCAACATCAACAACAACGACGTCAACAACAGCAACATCATCATCAACAACAAAAACGTCAACAACAACAACATCAACATCGACATCAACAACAACAACGTCAACAACAACATCAACAACAACATCATCATCAACATCAACAACAACGACGTCAACAACAGCAACATCATCATCAACAACAAAAACGTCAACAACAACAACATCAACATCGACATCAACAACAACAACGTCAACAACAACAACATCAACATCATCATCAACAACAACAACATCATCAACAACAACAACGTCAACAACAACAACATCAACAACAACAACATCAACAACAACAACATCAACATCATCATCAACAACAGCAACATCATCAACAACAACAACGTCAACAACAACAACGTCAACAACAACAACATCAACATCATCATCAACAACAACAACATCATCAAAATCAACAACAACAACATCAACAACAACAACGTCAACAACAACAACATCAACATCATCATCAACAACAGCAACATCATCAACAACAACAACGTCAACAACAACAACAACATCAACATCATCATCAACAACAACAACATCATCAAAATCAACAACAACAACAACATCAACGTCATCATCAACAACAACATCAACATCATCATCAACAACAACATCAACAACAACATCAACATCATCATCAACAACATCATCAACAACAACAACATCATCAACAACAACAACATCATCATCAACAACAACATCAACAACAACAACGTCAAACAACATCATCAACATCAACAACAACATCAACATCAACAACGTCAAACAACAACAACAACAACGTCAAACAACAACATCAACATCAACAACAACATCAACATCATCAACAACAACAACAACGTCAAACATCAACAACAACATCAACATCATCATCAACAACAACATCAACATCAACAACAAAACAACATCAACAACGTCAAACAACAACATCAACATCAACAACAACACCAACGTCAAACAACAACAACATCAACATCAACAACAACAACATCAACATCATCAACAACAACAACATCAACAACAACATCATCAACATCAACAACAACGACGGCAACAACATCAACATCATCATCAACAACAACAACGTCAACAACAACAACAACAACAACAACAACAACAACAACAACAACAACGTTTAGAATGACACAAGGGTGAGTAAATGATGACAGAATTTTCATTTTGGGGTAAACTGGCCCTTTAAGATACACTTATTTTGTCTTTCATTTCTCTCAGTTTCAAATGTTCAAATTTAAGGCAAGTGTGCCCACGAAAGTCCAGGTGTGGTTAAAAAAATTCAACATCAACATCAACAACAACATCAACAACAACAACGTCAACATCAACAACATCATCAATAACATCAACAACATCATCATCAACAACAACAACATCAACAACAACACCAACGTCAAACAACAACAACAACAACATCAACAACAACAACAACATCAATATCAACAACAACATCATCAACAACAACGTCAACAACAACATCAACAACAACATCATCATCAACATCAACAACAACGACGTCAACAACAGCAACATCATCATCAACAACAAAAACGTCAACAACAACAACATCAACATCGACATCAACAACAACAACGTCAACAACAACATCAACGTCATCAACAACAACAACAACATCAACAACAACAACGTCAACAACAACAACGTCAACATCAACAACATCATCATCAACAACAACAACATCAACAGCAGCAGCAGCAGGACAACTGTGAGGTTTGAATCTCAATCATTACGTGTGTAGAGCTGCACAAACATCCAGGTCTCAGATTTGAGACTGAACACACACCAACCCAATGAGAATAATAGCAGTAATTTTTAACTGACAGCTCTCTGAAATAAAACATATGTGTTGCTCTTTCGTGGAAAAGCTCATGTTGGCTCAGAATGAGGCTGAACATAATTGGAGCCACATTTATTAAAACAGCTGAGAATGAGTTCTAGCAGAGGAAATAGATCCCATGTTATTTAATTATCTGTTTATATTCAACAAAATACATTTCACTGAGAGGTGGTTTTTCAATTTCTCACAGAAACCAGCAGCCCCAGTGCCTTTCCATGATGTTATGAGGAAACGGGACGCCAAATAAAGGAGTGTCTCTGCAGTCATTTGACTGAATGTTTCATCAAACGCTTCAGCCAAATGGCACATGCGGCTCATGTGTTTGCCTAGTTGTTCAGTTTCACTGTATATTTCCAGGAGGTGAGTCAATAAATCCAGCAAAAACAGCCCTGAAGCAGAGCAGAAACTGTTCTATAGAAAGCGCATCACATCGAGAAACAGAGGACTGTCCTGATGCACTCAGACATTTGGACTGACTGCGTGCGGTAGGGTGAGCTTTTATCAGGAAAGCTGGATGATCATTTCGGCTTTGACATCTGTTGTACGACACACAAAACCGGAAACCATATGTCTGCCATCAGTAAGAGAAAAACCAGTCCAGGGGCCACCAAACTGAGTAAGAGTTATTAGTCCCCGGGGCCCGGCCACAGGATAAAAGAGACTGTGTAATATTATAAATGCAGAGCAACATTTTCCAGAGCAAATCTGTGCTTCAGTCTGGGTTTCATCAGCGACTCGGTTCTAGTACATTATTCCATTGACGATGAGAGACTGATTTGTGCTCGTGTGATCAGCGCTGCCTAATGAAAACAGTCTGCAGAGCCAGATTCAGGACTATTTTGAATACGCTTCATGAAAACAGAGGAGCATTTGGTGTGCGTCTGCTTAAGTCTGGTTAATTGTGCAGCTTTACAGGGTCAAATTGCATTAGGCAGCTATTCCACCAGCCAGTAGAATAAATGTTTTCCACATGCTTGTGAGAGACTGAATATTCACAAGATTCACAGTAGCTGAATGGTTTTAAGCTGGATTATATTCATTTGGTTGTTGTGGATCACCACTGTCCAAGAAGAGGGTTTTTGCTTTGATGTTACTGACCTGAACCCAGAATCTAAACACACACACACA